TCTTATACAAAGTTATGAAAATTGCATGGCCTGTGGCGACTACTGTATGTACCGTTTTGATTTAAAGTTCACTTTACAGCCCTCGCAGACAGTGGCATAGTGACTTGTAGTATAGGAAGGTAAGGTGGAGCCGACAAAGACAAGGGTGGCCGGAGTGGCCATTTCTGACTTATTAGCCGTCATCAGCCAGTCAGATCCAATCCTAGGAGTGGAGCACCCTAGATTCCAAACCGCGGACGCCACATTATCTTATATATATATCCAATAAATATATACGGAACGCCGAAAGGTAAGCGGAGTGATCTGTCCACAAATGTCAATAACTGAAGAAACTAAAAGAATACAGGATCGAGTCATTGACAGTGGTACGACTCGCAGATAAATAAAAACAGGAACGCACCTGAAGTGTATTGATTGGAACGATGAGAAGTACACTGCGGGCCTTGCAGTAACGGAAGATGACATCAAGGAAGGCGATGATTTGAACGCTTTTGCCCAATCCCATGCTGTGTGCGAGAATGCAGCCAAATCCTTCAGTCGTTTCGAATTGTGATTGACTTTCGATGAGATTGTCGTAGAGAAAACGTACGCCACTCACCTAAACAGAAGAACAGCAATTAAATGCAAAAATCCGGTCGTAAAGAGCCCCTCAAGGTCCCTTCTTGCAGTTTCTGACAAATTCGACCAACTCCTCAATGACAGAGATGACTTAGAAGAAAGTATGAATGGGCATCGACGTGGACAGATAATATGATGAAAAGCGCCGTCATGCATGCATATCTTAGTAATGTTTCGCACAAAGTGCCCACAGTGAAGCTCTGTACAGTATGCCTTAGCCTAAATTAACCCCAAGGACTTCTCTATTGTATCCCTGCACAAAATTGCTGAGTCACCAAGCACCGTCGTACAGGCCAGCTCGACATGCATAGGACACAGTCTTCTAGGGACAGGGATCTGTGGAGATTCAAGTTAATAAACGTTTTTCATTCCCCTTGTTATAGTGCAAGCAAAACAAGCATCGAAGGGTTTTACCAGTCTCCCTTGTCACTAAAGACAGCATGCAGAAGTTCAACTGATTACATAAAGGTAAAGGTACAGGAGAGAGGCGAAACTGTCAATGGTTTTTGGGAGACGTCTGATCTGGTTGAGCGGACAGAGACTGGTGGTACTATAAGCCAGTTTTCATCAAATTAACCATTTTAACTCTGCACTTTGTACGGCAGCAGTAGGAAAATCGTCGGAAGAATAGCGCTGGCACACTTTGTGACAAAACCCTTCCTTCCGATTAGAGAAGCAGAGCCCATTCGTTGCGCTAACAGTAGACTTGACATGACAGACTTGCCCCCTAAAATAGCCGTTTCGCCGGTTGGTGGAAAGGAGGCGTCGCGTGAGGCAATTTGAGTTGCCAGAATGAAATGCAGTGGCAAGCATCCCGTGGCTGGTCCATACGCGGACAGT